TACACAGCCTCTAGTGAGGTCCAGAACCTCCTGCTCTAGGGGTAGAAGAAGGAGCATCAGCCAAGTCAAGGTCGTTTTACTGCTGTCCTTTACATTAAGTGCCAAATGTCTCAGAATTGTAATTAACCTTACAGAGAAACTGCCTTTTGTGGGTCAGAAACAGCATCTGTCTTTTGAACTGTAGGAACCGAATTTATCAAAATATCTTAGTGATTTTAGGCAGTTTTCCCCTTAGTTGTAAAACTAGTTAGATGAATGGATAAAATTGTGTTCATCACATAGGTGCTGGGTTTAAATGTTAAGGGAATAAGATTGTCACTTGAGTTCTTGTTTTGTCTTATTTGGTGTGTCTATAGCTACTGGGTGACTTTATTTGGTAAAAATGACTTCAACTGAAATAGCATATTGAATCAATTGCCTCTTAGTGTCCCCAGTTTTTTTTTTTTTTTTTAGTTTAAAAGATTGGAAGACCCGTTTGAGCTATTTCTTGCACAATTCTTCTACTCCTGGGAAGCCCAAAACCAGCAAGAAAAGCAAACAGCAAACTTTCATCAAGTAAGTCAGAATCCTGTACTTGCAAGCATGAATAGCAAGTTTTTAAACTTGAAAGAGGAACTCTGATATGCATAAGCTAATATGTGGAACTTCTCTTGCAGGCCTTCTCCTGAGGAAGCACTGCTGTGGTCAGAGGCATTTGATGAACTACTAGCTAGTAAATGTAAGTTAAACTCTTGAATTTGATCCATTGCAAAAATCACAAGAGTCTAGGAAGGATAAATCCATACCACAAATGAGCAGCTTGTAGGGAGAGCTTTTACAATTACTAGCATAAAGCGTATTTTTCTCTCCTTTATTTTTCAGTATTTAGTCATGGAAATGTATGTGGTATGCACTCCATGTGGGGAAGAAAAGTTAGCCTAAATATTAAAACGAACATTGCTCATAGTTAGGGTTGAGTCAGCTTTTCCATTGCATACAATGTTTTCAAGAGCCTGATTTCTAGAGAATTTATATATCTCCTCTAGATATTTATTTTGCATTTATATATAAATCTATATATTTTTGTAGCAGAGCACCAACTTAAGCATTTTACCTACTGGTATCTTAGTCTTTAAAAAGCTTAAATAAGGATTACAGACTTGAGTGAAATCTAGAAAGCTGCTACATCTAATACTAGAAAAGCATAAGGAATTATCTGGTCACTCAATTCTTTACACTCTGCAATCTTTCTCTCCTCTTCAGATGGTCTTGCTGCATTCAGGGCTTTTTTAAAATCTGAGTTCTGTGAAGAAAATATTGAATTCTGGTTGGCCTGTGAAGACTTCAAAAAAACAAAATCACCCCAAAAACTGTCCTCAAAAGCAAGGAAAATATATACTGATTTCATAGAAAAGGAAGCTCCAAAAGAGGTAAGAAAAAGGTTCTTTATTTCAGCATAATTTGGATGTCCTTAGCACCAAAGTGAAACAAATTGAATTGAAAGCATCAAATCAGAGGCAAGTGGGAAGAGCAGTATCAAGGCCTCCCTCCTCACTAGCCTAAATTTCAGTTAAGTCTCTCCAGTCTTGGCTGAAGCTAATCACACATTACATTTTTTTTGTTTTCAATTATTAAAGTTCATTCACTAAGACTGAATACCAAATAAACCATTTTTTGTTGTTGTTTTATTTCAGATAAACATAGACTTCCAAACCAAAACTCTAATCGCCCAAAATATACAAGAGGCTACAAGTGGCTGCTTCACTACTGCCCAGAAAAGAGTATATAGCCTGATGGAGAACAACTCTTACCCGCGTTTCTTGGAGTCAGAATTCTACCAGGACTTGTGCAAAAGGTCACAGATCACCACAGATCCCCATACTACATGAGATGGAAAAAAGAGCCCCAGAATGGAGGACATTTCTTTCTTTTTCCTAAGGGAAAAGGCTGTGATCTACTAAAAAGACTGACCTTGAATTCAGCCTGGGTGTTCAGGAAACATCACCCAGAACTATTGATTCAAAGTTGGGTAGTGAGTCAGGAAGCCAGTAACCTAGGAGAAGCGAGTGTCAGAAGGGCTTCCCTTCTTGAAGAACGTGGGGGTGTCTCACTGGAAAAGCCAGAGCGAGATGAAAGACACCGTGTAATACTATCGTTCCAAAACCATTGAAAATCAATAGGTCTGGGATTATGTGGCCTTAGCTAGCTGGCTGTACATCTTTCCCTAAATCAGTCCATGTTACCACATAGTGGTTTTAGTTTTAGTTTTAGTTTTTAAGTACTAAGTAACATTAAAATGTTTACTATGTGCAAAGGTATTGAAGTTCTTATGACTTACAGATCATCAGTACTGTTGTCTCATGTATCGCTGAAACTGAAAAGGTCCGTTTGAATTGTTAACCGGTGTGTGAAATTGAATGCGTGCTTTGTGTGGGAAACTCAGTGTCCGTTACGAGTGCCAAAAACTGTCTTGAAGGCAGCTAAACTTTGAAGTGGTCTTTGAATACTTTTAATAAATTTTATTTTGATAAATAATGTTATTGAACACTTGGAGTCCAGATGTGATCTGATTTTATTTGACTTTGGTAACTGGAATTATGGCAGATACAAGCAAAACCATCTAAAAAAGGACTAGCTAAAATGAGCAGTAAAATATGAAAACAAGCTCCAAAATTAGTCACATAACTGTTTTTCTAATAGATGAATGTAAGCCTACTTTTTTTTATTCATTCCCTTGGTTCTAAGCTCCCCTGTAGGTATTACCATAAGTTTCCAAGACTCATATTTGAAAACTGTTTTTCCATGATGGGTCAATACGCAATCAGAGTTTTCCTGAGTCTCTTTCCTTTATTTGCTTAAAAAAAAAATCTGATTATGTAACTTTAGTTAATGATGAAGGCAAAAGAAAGGCACTTTTGTTTCTTACCTTTAATCCAGGAATGTGCTTTTTCCTAGTTGAGGAATCTGTTATTTTTCTAACTGCTAAGGTTAAAACAAAAAAAAGAATACCCTTTCCTTCAGCAGGCTGCTTTTCATTCTCCTTGGTTATGGTTTTAATAAACGAGAGGGAGGCAGCCTTCATCTTGGAGTTGGAAGATCTGAGCCAAAGTACTGACTTCCCGTAGCTTTGTGACCTTAAGATCCTAACACCTTTGCTGGCTCCCCACATGACACCTCTCTGGTATCTGTGAATACCAGAGAGGGGACTTTAGAAATTGTAAAGCACTAAAAAGTGCATTTATTTCTGATTTTCCAAAAGAAAATTGGCCTCCGGTAGTTTAAATACTGTTTCCATTGTGACTGCACTAATTTTCACCTTACCCAGAGTTTCTGACAACAACGTGCACAGGCTCCATGACAGACGGCCCTATCCACTCCTGTATCATCAGCAGCCAGAGTGACACATAGTAGATGCTTCATAAACATTTGAGGAATAAGTGAATTCTGAAGGGTCATGGAAACAGTGCTATTTTTTTAAATAAATAAAATGGGTCTGCATAATTCTTATAAAGATTTGGACCAATAGAGGACCCTAGGAGTCATGTCAATATACTTTGCCACCAAAAAGTACACCAAGTATTGTACACCAAGGTACAATACTTTTGCTATTTATTGTACCTTGTCTCTCTGTCCATCTTATTCTCTGCTACCACCCTGATGAAAGATGCTGTCATCTGATGACTAGATGACGGCAGTTGTCTCAGCTGACCTCCCCCTGCTCATCCTCCCCATCTTATATGTTCCCTGTTTTTTAACTCTAGGGATCCTTCCAAGATACAACCCTGAGCTTTTCTTCTGTTGCTTGTAAACCTTTGACCAGCCTCCCAAACATGAGGATAAAGGCAGTATCCCTAATATGGCCTTACACCTGCAGGGCTTGACTCCTTCCATTCTCAGCTATGCCACATGTCCCCTGGCTCTTTCTAGTAGCCTCACCGGCCTACTTTCATTCCCTTGAAGATGCCAGGCCCACTGGGCTCAAAGGGCCTTTGCACCTAATAGTTCCTTTGTACAGGATACAATTTTAGCTTCTATTCATCACTCAACTACCTTGCAATTTCCACTGCCCAGGGAAGCCTGCCCTGACCTCCTTACCTAGGTCAGATCCTCTTTTAGATGTTCTCACAGCATGATTACATTTAGAGCACTTAATGGAGTCATAAGTTCTAATTAATTTGTATGATTATTTGAAAATTCTGTCTTTGACTAGATTGTGAATGCCACAATTGAGAACCCTGTGCTTTTTTTCTGCTCACAGCTAAATGCCAACACCTAGCTCAGTGCCTGGTATACAATAGGGGGCACATAAATAATTTTCAAGTGAATGAATAAGTATTAAAAGATCTTTTAAGCAAATGTTGGTGAAATAGAAAATATCTAAGAATTCAAGGAGAAATTAGAACCTGATTTAGTAGTTGGTTTTGTTTAAAAGATGGGGTCTCTCCCTATTGCCCAGGCTGACCCCCAACTCCAGTGATCCTCCTGCCTTAGCTTCTTTAGTTGTTGGTACTACAGGCACATGGTACTGCATCCAATTTTTAAGGATATGATTTTAAAAGCCTCACTGGCTCAAAGTTCTGAAAATATCTGCAGAACTTTTTCTTCTGGCAAAATAAATAAATACTTCTTACTGGGCATGTTCTTTATGACTTTAATAGAAGGAAAAGCCAAACTATAGTAACAAAAAACAAGAGTCTTGACTTTTAGGACTGCTGAAAGTACAGGTTTTATTCAGGTGGTATTTTTTAATGTCTTCCAGTGTGGAACAAACTGAAATAGATTTAAGATTAGAGACCACATGTCTCTACAAATACTACTTAATGTTCCAGTTTCTCAGAGTTCTTATGCTTGGGATCCACAGTCTCTTCATTTTGATAATATTTCACTGTTTTATATATTTTAAGCCCAAGGGTGTGTCTAAGTATAGTAATTTCATATAGTCATATCAGGAAAAATAACAGAAAATTGTATGCTATCTGTCATCTGAGCACTGGAGGTGATAAATGAGTTTCAATGAAATTACTTAAAGTGATCACCCAAAATTTCACAGGAAAGAGGTCTTTGCTAGTTTTGCTAGAGGTATTTTGTTGATTAACCACAACAAAATTTCTCTGTCAGGAGATAAGTCATGAATGAAAGTGAATTGTGCGTTTCAACAGCAGAGTCTATAAGGCACCTCCTCTGTGCCAGGCCGTTGGCTCTTTGCAACATTGTTTTTCTCTGTTAGCCCCAAATTGCAGCTAAAGGAATTAGCCTGACTTTAGAGAGTGTTGCCACTAGTAAATGGTGAGTTTTGACATGCGCAGAGATTTCCCCAGGTCTGACTCAGATGCCTTTTGACAACTTCAACTCCCTTCTCTCTTTCTCTGAGAAGAACTCAACAGACATCTGAATGCTACTATAAACAACCTTCTGGCAAAAGTAGATGTGTGAGAAAAGTCCAACTTTGCAAGTTGGTGCTTGCAGTTGCAAACAAACAAACCAAAAAAAAAAAAAATCATTCCTTTCCAGAAAAAGAAAAAAAAAAAAAAGGAATGAGTTAAAGAGAAGAGCTTCTACATGTTGAAATCCAATCAGAAGAATCCTAAGCAAGACAGAACTGCAGGAGAGCAAGCACCAAGTAAAACAAGAAAGCATTTAAAGGAGGAAACACAGTTGTGAATGGGTGTTGAAAAAGAATTAGATACCCACATCAGCCTGAGACAGGAGACGTAATCGGCTGGGAAGGACCTGGAGAAGGATATCTGTACGAAGTAGGATGCTTGGGCATCTCTGCGGCAGCAGCTGGATTGTCTCAGGACCTTCAAGCATGAACTTCCTTTTAAGCTGCAGAGTTTGGACTTAAGAATAAAACAGAAAAGTGAACTAAACAGACACTTGGAAAAGAAGACTAATCAAAAGGCTGCTACCATTAAACATCTGGAACAAAGATTGCACCAGGCTGATCAAGGCTGCCAGAAAGCTGAACTCTTCATCGACTCTTCACACAGACAAGATCAACAGTCTGCAGCTGGAAGCAGAGATGACCATCAGGCAGCAGCGGCAGTTCCAATTAGACCTAAAACAGGAGAGAAGTTTACAAAACCACAGGAGCATTCCAGGGAAGGGTTCTCAGAGCCAAAACCCAAGGATGGGCAGTTTGGAATTCAAGAGGAAAAGGTTAAACTAAAAAGAGCCAATGGAAGAAAACAAGAGGCTGCAGCCTCTCCCTATAGATAAACAGTATCAGTCACTGTTCTCTGAAAAGCCACAGGTATGTTAGCACAAAGAATGTGTAAGAACTGCAGAGGAACCTTCTGTGATACCTTCTCAACAAAAGACCAGCCTCTTTCAAATATCAAGCCTGAGCAAGTTACAGTCCCTATCACAAGGGGCTGATGAAGCAATATTCTACCAGTTCATCTTAATACTGAAGGAAAAGACCTGTACCAAAACATTCCTGCAGGGCCATTCTCTACCTGTGTTGGATGTCAGAATCTCCAAAAGCATAGTCCTTAGAGTCAAGTGAAGAATTGAGAGAAATGATTGATGTATACCAGGTCTAAGAAGAAAAGGCAGGCGTTGGGCATGCCAGAAGTTGTGCTCATTTTCCCTAGTGACTGCACAAATAAGTTATTCAATTGCACCTTTCTTTTTTAAGTCCTAAACACACTCACACACACATTGGGAAATTTTCCCCCTATGGATATTCTTGCAGAAACTTGAGGGAGAGAAAGGGGAGAATTTTCCAAAATTAAAAAAGAAAACAAACCCTGATACAAGAAGCTCAAGGAACACCAAGCAGAATAAATACTGCAAAACTGAATATCAGCTTCAGGCTGCTGAAAAGCTAACAACGGAGGAAATCTAGAAAATACCCAGAGGGAGAAAAATGCCTTAATGTACTAGAAGCTATGATAAGAACTAGAATAAAGGGGCTAGGCATGTGGCTCAAGTGGTAGTGCACTTGCCTAGTATGCATAAGGCACTAGGTTCGATTCTCAGCACCACATAAAAATAAAATAAAGATAATATTGTGTCCTCCTAAAACTAAAAAATAATATTTTTTAAAAAAATAAAGAATTGGGGCGGGGATGTGGCTCAAGTGGTAGCGTGCTCGCCTGGCATGGGTGCAGCCCGGGTTCCATCCTCAGCACCACATACAAACAAAGATGTTATGTCCGCCAAAAACTAAAAAAAGAAAAAAATAAAAAATTCTCTCTCTCTCTTTAAAAAAATAAAAAATTTAAAAAATAAAGAATTAGAGTAAACTTTTGGTCAGAAACCATGCAAACAAGAGGAAAGATAAAGTGTTAAAATTTTTTTTAATTCATTCATTTAGCAATCTCAATATCCAACAAAATTCTTCTTCAAACATGAAGGCAAAACAAAAACCTTCTCAGACATAAAAACAACGGAGGGAATTTATTGCCAACAGACCTACTGGACATGGGATGTTAAAACAAGTTCTTCACAAAAATGGACAACGATATAGGTCGAAAGCTCAGATTTCAGGAAAGAAGACTGTAGCAGAAGGAATCCATAAAAATAAAGTAATGTTATTTAGT